AACTTGTCCATTATCCATTTATTCAGTAGTGCGTGGAGCCACTTACTGAAAAGTTTTTTTCCCTCATATTTGACCGCAGTATCTGGAAAGTGCGATGCCGTCAATGCCCACGATATCGCATGTGCAAGTCCGCCATCGTCACCAAAAACGTTTCTTACCACCGTGAAATCGTCGGTTCTTTGTCAGGGATAAATAACGTAACGTATTCGTTCAGAGATTTCAATTTCGGGCTCGCTGCTGCGACGAAACCAATAACTTCAATCTCCAGTAGATTAAAAACATTGTCAGCGGATTTCTTCCTCTTCAGCCACCCTTAAACTGCTGTGTCTGCAGGTATGTCCCTAAGTTTGTCGTTTCACGGTCCATCTTTGCGATGATCAGCTCTTTCGCCACTACATCGCCGCCATAGTGTGCAGTTAGTCTCCAGCAACGAGACCTTGTTGTCTGGGTTCTTCTCGTTGTACATTGAAATGTACATAGTAAAAGTGTGTAAGTCGTCGTCAGAGAGAGCACGCTTCACACCACGGCTAAGTCCGAGCTTGGTTAAGACACTCTCCAGCTGCATCTTCTTCGTGATCCAATGGTCAAGTAACAACAAGGTTGCCCGTTCTCTTATAAATCTTCCAATCGTGAGAATATCCATCAATTGTGCACCTCCACAAAATCCAGTCGCCAACGACTTGGGTAGCATTACATCCCTTAGGGTTGAAGAGGTGTTAAACATGGTTAAAGAGCCTTCAACTCGCCCACTATTCGGCGCTCCAAAGATTCATCGTTTGAGCATGTGCTGCTAGAAGTAGAAGCTAAGCTAGTGCTTTCACGTCAAGGGTAGTCCAGTATTTTATTCTTTGCTTGATGATCTGCATTAAGTTCGTGCTGTCAATGCCGTAAACCTTTACAGACAGCGCGTTAGGCTGACCTGAATCGGTGGTCTGTAGTGGTACCATTCAAGTATTTTTTACCTCGTGCTCGAATTCCCAATCAACGAACATCACCTACTATATAAGCCGTCCTGTAGTTGTTATCGCTGCAAATACAATGAGCTCCAATGCAGTCGATAATGCTGCGCTGATCGACACGGTCAATCTTTCAACTCCACGTATTCAGCACTTTGGCTCTATCAATAAGTTCGCCGTCTCAGGGAAAGTA